TCAGCTAGCATAATAGGAGATGCTGAAAATATAAATATTTATATAATAATCATTACCAGTAACTGTTTTAAATACTATAATTTTAGTTCCCTCAAACTTTATGAAAACCAAAAACGTATTTCTAAAAGACACAGTCATTTAATAAAAAGGGCAAAAGCACCACAGTTTAGTTGTAAATAAAACAACAGTGCATATTTGTGTTGGATGTTCTGTGGCAGTAACTGCAAACAAAGACGACAGTATTTGAGAAGATAATAACAGTCCTCTTGATCTTCACATGACTTAATGTCTGTTTGCCTTCCAGCAAAATATAACAAAAATGACACTGAAATGCTTTCAGTAAATAAAGATCCATTTGCTCACTATAAATACCCGTTAATATACAACACATGTGAGGACTGTGACTGTGAAGTTACAGAGGCAACGTTTAGATTGTTTAGACATATGCAGAGGTGGGATGGTGGACAAAGGATGTTGATAATGGAGCTGCCAGGGAAGATGTAGTGAAGGAGGACACGCAGAGAGTTGGTGTGACAGCGATAGGCAGTCCTAGAAATAGGGTATGAGAGACGGCAGGTGATCTGCTTTGGCGAGCTCTAAAAGAAGCAGCCGAAAGAAGAAGGTTTAAGGTCTAACGAGAGAGCTTTTAAAATTATTAAATTAGCATTGATAGCACTTGGCAATAACTTAAAAAAATGCTAGCTGAATGCTGACAGTTACTTAACCTAGCCTAGCATTGGCTACGTGGCTAACAAGCTAGCCCACATCAGCATTCACTACCAAAACTGTAGTAGGTTTTTTGGGGTCAAATTTAACGATGTGTTAGACTTTAAGTCTTCAGTTCCCTAAAATAAACCTATAGTTGAGAGGCGGGCGAGTTATTTCAGAAAACAAAGATGCATTTTAGCATATTTTGCTAGTTGAGTGGCTCTATTAGCAGGGCGGGCTAACGGTTAATACTCACTTTGTGTATGCTGCTCCTAAGTCAATAACAATCGCAGTCTTCTCTCCTCCGCTTCCGAGCCCATCAAATAATGGCATTTTAAAAGCTGCGTCGGCTTTGGACGAAAACTGTACGTATAATTAGAGCCAGCAGCCTCAAATTAGCATCCCACTACAGGTCTGTTGTCTTCCTGTTGGACTGGGCGGGGCCTTCAGAAAGTAGTGACATCACGCGAGGAGGGTGCCTGATTAAAATGCGCTTAACTCAGTAAAATTTAAGAATAACGCCAAAATAATGTTTTGCTTGCAGAGCACTTATTGAAACCAGTGTTAAAATTGATGTACATTCGATTTTAAGAAAATTAAACACGATTTTTTTTAATTCTATGAGACTCAAGTGTAGCGATAAAATGAAATAAAATACAATAAAAAAAA